GTTATGTTAAACTTATATTAAAGTTTTTCTTCATTATCCATTCAAGCCATCTCCAAGCATTATTAGTCTCAAAGTGGGTTCCTCGTCATCGAATATGCATTGTCAGTTTCAACTACTCCCTTCAGAGTCTTGCATAGAGCTCTTAGCCAAACAGGGCTTCTTGTCCAAATTTTTTGCACATCCTTGCCTTATTCAAATATTTATTTTAAAATTTTTGTCATGCGTTATTTCTATCATAGAAATAATGACTGGATCAACACATTTACTGCCTATATATATCTGTATGCTTTATAATGATGCGGCACTTTTTGATTGGTTGGATGATTTGTTTTGAATTTCGTGCAAAGCTACACGATGGCTATTTGCAATAGCCCTCCCTAATTTAGCATTTATAGACTAGAGGGAAGGCAGTTAGCTAACACCATCAACTGCCAACTCTTGGCTGCTCTTTTACTAACAAATAATGGGATTGACAATAATATTATAACGTCCCGACGGCTGAAAGGGCGAACACAATGGTGTGACAAGAATTCAAACCAGCAACCCTCAGATTGGGAGTCGAGCGCCCTAACAACTAGACCATGCCAGGTCATGGTTGGATGAAAATCAATTACGTTGTAACCTATAACATTATACTTTGATGCATTTCATTTTCACACCACAAAGGAGTAGTATGCCCTTATCATTTGTCATTTGTTCCCTTTTTCCTCACCAGTGTATTCTAAAAAAAAACACCTTGAAACCAGACAATGGTTGAAATAAAATATGAAAAAAACATACCTAAGCGGCTAAAGCTCGAAATTATTGGTATTTTGACGCTTGAAAAGTATCCAAAACGCGATTTGGAATTTGGTAACAATTAAAACACGAATACCAAAATTATAAAATCACATTTGAGGTTATATTTTCTTTATGTTTTAGTTGCTACTAAATTACTAAATATATATATATATGTGCGATGTTTTTAAGACGCCCAAACTAACATATTAATTGTTTTTGGGTCTCGGTTGTTTGCTCCACCCACTCAATGATGTGTTTTATTTTATTTTACCATTGAAAATTTTCAGAGTTCGATCATAAAATATAAATGAAAACTCCATCCTTAAATAAAATCTAATAGTCAGAATACTAATAAGCAAATGTGAAGCCCAATCTGTTACTCAAGTTATCACTTGTCACTGAATTATAATCATTTCAATGAATTCTACGCCTCATCAGTAATCCTGGACAAGGGCAAATTGAAAGAATAACACTAAGCTTCATATAGTGGTGGACTGTATATGTTCAGTGTTTTGAGATGTTTCTTTACTTGCACAGTGAGCCTATGTAGTAAACCGAATGATAGATAGATCGGGCTTCACCTTTATTTTTTAGAATTTTAAACAGCACGTCGGCTGAATAATCCCTAAGATTAAATTAGTAGCATCAATGTGGCTTATTCTTAAAATTCTAACCTGAATATAGGATCACTGTGCTAGCAAAAGGCATTTCAAAACACTGTGAAATTATCAGAATGCTGGAATTATTAGATTTTAGAGTAAAGTCACTTACTTCTTACAATATATTTTTCACACGTTATTGATTTGGTCCCAAAAAGTAACATGCTCAACCTAATAAATATTTGAACTAACTTGAAAATTTTAAATATATATAACTATATCTTACGTATTTTATCGTTATTGGGAATTAAATTAAACATTAAAAGCTGGGGAAAATGTGCTTAACTGAAATTATTTAACACACCAGCTAAAAAATTGAAACACAATAGCCCGACGTTTCTGCTTCCAACGAAAGTCTTTTTCGTGGATGCAACACGACTAGATTATTTAATATGTGTGTTGCGCCATCTATTGGTTTTTTTAATAGATAGTAAAGTACCATATACCTGTGCAAAGAAATATCGGACTATTTGATAATTGAACTTAATCTAGGGATATGCATTCTGTAATTTTTAAGCATGTAATATTTTATAATTTCTCCAGCTGATGGAGTGATCTGTTAATGACAAGTTTTCAGTCTAAGAAAATTTTATTTTTCAATTTTTACTGCGTGTTTTTGTTTCCTAATTCTTACTTTAAACAATCGTCCAATTTCTCCGATCTACTTAAAATCACAGCCTTTACACTATAAATTTGGTAAATTGAAACATACCTTTCCAAAGGATTCCTTTTATCTTTTGGATATACCAACATTTGCCTAAAAACTAAACACGATTTAAAAGAAACTTTAATAGCTGAAGCAAATATTATAGTAGCAATATCGCTTACTCCTTAAATTTAAAGTAATACAATTTCATGAAGTCGCTTTTAGTTTGAATATTTTAGGTAAAAGTAAACTCTTTTGAAACGCTTTAGAATACTCATTTTGTTTTAATAAATCATTAAGTTTTTATAGGATCCTTGCAAATAGTTGTAAGTATTTATGATTGAAAGTAGAGAATAGTACATAATAATATATCAAACACGCCATATCTGCTACATCCAGCGTCGACGAGTCCTTTCATCCAAAACCAGAGATACAACAGATATAATGGTGGTTTAGACTGCCTATATTAGCAAATCCTTTGAGCAACTGTTGCGGTGTGAGCTGGATTAACTTGGTGTTGTGTAAGTTTCACCAGTTTTGTTGATTTCACTACAAATCAGAACAATGTAAGGAATTGTTTAACGCTGTATTGTACTATTTGTTATCGAGATTTTGGATAATGGGGAAAAAATCCAAATAGTTGTTTGTATTGGTAGGTTTACACTTCCAATTCCAGAACATCTAAAAAAAAAAAAACAGTAAATTAATATATAAAAATAACCGATTACACATCACATTTAAACAAAGCTTGCAGTTTTACCTAAAATACTCAAACCAAAATCACCTTCAAGGAATTATATTGCTTTACCTTACGTACAATGAATAAGTGAAAGTATTATTATATTTTTTGTCTCAGCTAATAATAGTTTATTTTAGGTACTTCACTTGTATATATGCATTTAAAAGGTAAAAGCGATTCCTCAGAAAAGTCCGGGTCAATTTATCAAATAAAAATATTTTAATGTTAAGAATATTGAGGAAAGTGAGTTATGGTTAAAAGTAAGAAGTGGGAAACATAAATGTGAAGTAAAAAATGGAAAAAAAAAGTAATCGAATTAGTTCTCGCAGAAAAAAATTTTACCAACAGATAATTCCATCGACTGTGATAATTATAAATATTCGATAATAAAAAAATAGGGAATGTTGGAGCTGTTTAAAAGAGTAGCCTATGGCTAGATTAAGTCCACGTTCGTTAAATAAGGATGATTATTTGTAATTAAGCACAAAGCTGCACAATGGGCTATCTTTGCTCTGCCCACCACGGGTATCGAAACCCGGTTTCTAGCGTTGCAAGTCCGCAGACATACCGCTGTAAATAAGGATGCAGGCCAACAATAGATGATACAACAAAAATAAAATACATGGCATGGACCTGGATGAGCCACAACTCTGAAAAGAAAGACTATACGTTTTTTTTTTTGTGGGTAAAAAAATTCCCCCCAGCTGTTTATATCTTAATTAAATGACTATGATGATACCGTACGTCACAGACTTGAATCTTTTATTTATTTGGTATTTGTAGAATCTGTAATGCTGCATTTGTTGATAAAGTTTTCACTACTAACTCTGACAATGTCTTGCAAATTTAACTCAGAATTTCAGAAAATCAATTTGGTTTAGAGAAATGAAAAGGATTATCTTTTCAATATGATTTTCAGTATTAGTGAATTCAGGTGCAAGTTCTGACACCATTCGTTATCGGTTTCTATATGCGATTATCTAAAATATATATATTACTCTTGAATCCTTTCAAAAATTCAAAGAAAAATATTATATATATAAGGTTCAGACTCGAGTAAGAAAAAATCTCACATTTTCAGCACGATGCTTCCATAGGTTGGTTCGTTCTTCTTTGAATTCTTCTGTACGAAATTAAAGATCTGTTCGGTGAATACTAACTTACTCTTAAGAAATACAATTTATTCTGTCCTCAAATATTCCTCACTAGATCCCCAAAATTACTACAGTGTGTACCTACGCTGCGTTAGCAACATCTTTTTTTAGTTGTTTTACACGTGATAGAAAGAGATTCTGTAATGTAATCAGTCCGAAGCAGTGCATGAAAAAAACAATGAACATTGTTCTCTTACAAAATAATTGCAACTGCCATGGAGTAGTATATTTGTGCATATTTTGTCACGTTACGTGTTTAAAGATCTATTTTTAAAGTAATTTCTTGGTGATATACATCGTTTAGCGTACCCCATCTGGAGAAAAAAAAATCCACGCCTTTATTCTTTACATAGAAAATTTAGCTGTAGACTAATTCTGATTGCTTTGTATAGGTGTCATTGAAAGTAATCGAATGAAACATGGCACGTGGCATTCATTGCTATTTAAGTGCCCTGTCCAAGCACAAAAAAAAAAAATAAATAAAAATGCTTATCCGACTTATACCCATTCGCATTACTATGATATTCAAACCATAGACAGTGTAATACATTAAATACTCGCGTAGACATTCGACAAGCTAACCGTGTTGAAAAAGAAAAATTTTCGTTGAAAGTTTAAAAACAAGACTATCACGTTGATAATTTTCTATTTGCTTTAAATAATTGTACATATCTTATTGAATCATTTGATAATTTGCAATAATCGCATATATATATATATATATATATTTTTGGAGAAGATGCGTATTTCCCTAAGATTTCGTATACTTTCTTTATAAGACCCATATTTTAAGCAACAAAGCTGAAACTACTTTCGACTTCAGCAGTAACAGACAATTCTGTGGCGGTACGTTTTCAAATTTAATTATTATTATTTATTTCGTATGTTTAAAAAGACTATTTTCAGAAACACGGATGTAATTACGTCCGCTTGTAGAATTGTAGGTCTACCAGCCCTGATTTAGAAGTAACAGACTAGACAGAAGGTTACTAGTCAACACCACTCACCAGTAACTAATCTAATCAAACAGTGGGGTTGACCGTTACGTTATAACACCCCCACAACTAAAGTCGAACCAGTGACTCGCAGATAGCGAGTCGAGCACCTGAATTCCCACTCTTTTGTAGTTGTGTAAAAAGATATATATAGTCTCCATAATGATTTCACAATAAAATAGTATTTCGTTTTCTAATACAGGTGCTATACAGTGCCGAATCCAAGGATAGTGTTAAACATTTTCTTTAGTAAGGTTAAATACTAGTCAAAATATCTGTTATATACCTCTCCCGTACATAAACGTTATCGGAACAAATTTCAGTACGCTCAAAGCCAATTTGATGTCCATTTTGTTTGTCTAAAAGCATAACAGAAGCTATTTTGATCTATGCGCGAATTTTTTATTTATTTTTTTACAGTTAAATTTTTGTATCGTATAATTGAATGTGTCTTAGAAATTAATATTTGTAACTAATTATCCAGCAGAAGTACATACAATTTTTTGGTATTCTTAAATGCAGAAGTGACAACTTTGAAAATGTCACAATATAAAATAAATTATTTCTAAAAGCTTGAATATACACGAGGAAAGACTTCTACTTCGACGTGTATAGCAAACGAGTTATGTTTTGTATACATTTAAAAAAGCATTGGACGAGAAATTCACATAAAAATGACATTTATTAACAACCATTCACTCGAAACTGAACCAAAAATTGTTAACAATGTCAACTACTATTTTGTACGCTATTTCATTCAATTGTGTATTATACAGGACAAAAAAGTATACTGTTACTGAGCTTTTAGTAAAATAAATAGTTACATATTCACAGTTACATTATTTAGAAGAAATATTATAGTAACTGCACTAGATACTTTGGTAGTAAATAGTAGCTCAATAAACACGACTACAACAACAAAAAAAAAAACAATTTTTGGCAATAATACAACTATATCACCAAGAGTCCCCATAACAATATATATATATAAATCTCTCTCTACGTTTTATGCTCACATATATAGATGTACGAAAATTAAACAGATCATCTATAATGCATGTAACTGATGTAAGAAATTTGACTTGAACTACTGAGATAAAAAATAATAATAATAATACAATATACATACGACAGGTAACATTATTGTGTATATTGTATATTCCTTAACTCTCGAGTTTATTTTTCTTTAATTACTTAATTAAGCAAGGTACTTCAATAAGCTTCCCGTTAAGGTAATTTTCATCACAATAAGAAGTTTCTCGTGAAAAACTTTGTGGTTTAAGTAAATCATACCTCTGCATATTTCATGATGGAACTTTCTCTGAGTTTGTTAATACAACCTTAAAAAAAAATACTTTAAATTTCTTAATCTTCAAACTCTCCATTATTTAAATAATACTAATAGCTATGTATAAGTTGGCAAAGTAAATGGCAAAAAAGCATAGCTCTAAATATTCTTTTTGTAAAATATAAATACTGCACTAATCTACCTCTTATGTCTCTTATAAACATGACTAAAATGGTCAGTTTTAGATGACAACATGTATACACTAAAGAACACAAGTTTAAAGAAAAATGATATTCATATTCTACAAGAATAACATCGCATGTCATTGCTTCACACTCTTCTAAACATTAGCAGACGTTATATATATTTAAGAACAGAATTATTTTATTTAAATATAATATTTTTTATTTTATTATTTAAATTTGCTAATGTTTAAACTGTTATCTCTATTCCTTTGTTGGATTAAACTAAAACTGGTTACTTGAAAGTCTTTAGATTTTATTTGTTCTTAAACTACAAGTAAAATGCCACACAAATGAAAAAAAAGTGTACTTTAGCCTACAAATTTAGGGAGAAAAAATTTAAAGTAGATCAATATGGCAACCAGACTAGTTTAAATAGTAACAAGATAATTACCAATAAGCATTGATAATTACAGCACACTTCACGTCAATAAAGTTAAATGGGTAAAATACAACAACATTACTACTGTTATCATAGAAAAACTGATTGTTAGCACTTTGAAATTTGTTAAACATTGTAAAAATTTGAAGGCAGTATCTTGATTACTGGGTTATATCATGTTAAGGTATTTGAAGTATAGAAACCAGTTTAAATTTCTAGTGACAATATCCTGTTCATACCTCTGCTTTCATATGATACAGTGAAGTTTAAAATTACCAGATATGGGACTGACTGTTATTTATTTCCCTAACTGTAGTTTCATGCCCTTGCTAAACTATTAAAACTATGACAAGCACAAGTTTACATCAAATCCAATTTTTTAATTTTTTGCTTAATCCACATATGAGAACACACTAATTACTGCACCTTACTTTACTATACCTTATTTTATTTCAATGGATTACATAATTCATGCTAAATATACTAGAGTGTAAACATGTAATTAAGAACTCTTAATCAAAAATAAACCATTTACTTAGTTATAAAACTGAATTTTTACTAAAATATAAATAGCTTCCCATGGACTATACATAATATTTATACCTTACTTCAAGGTATGTTAACATAATACAATTATATAAAAAAAGACACAATTGCAGGCTATAGTCCACTCAACATTATTGAGATCAAATGTTCTCAACACCATTTTTATCGATAAGACAAATATTACAACAAAGTTTATTTGGCATCATCAAACTTATCTTTGTATTACTGTAAACACAAAACAACATACCTCAAACTATACCAGAAACAAACAATAAAAAGATCTTAAATTACAAAAATGAAACTATAATAAAAAACAAAATTTAGCACAAAGAAGGTACAATACACTAGATCATAAAACAGTTAATATGAAATTTTACTGTTAATACACTCGCTTAGAATTTCTAGCACACATACAGGTTTAAACCTTTAAGCAATACTAAAATGTTCTGTGGTAGTTTTTCATTGAAAACTATACAAATTTCTTTGATTATGTAAATATTTCAAAGGAATGTTTTGACTGGCAGTTTCACATAATACATAACTATGCTTTGGTTAATCCTAACAATAAAAACATTTAGTTTATCCAATTCTGCACAAACATATGATGTACGTTAATAACAAACGTGGAAAAATTAAAAACTTAGGTTTACAAGACACAGTATAACTTGTGAAGTCATTTAGTTTCTGAGCATTTCGATACTATAGTCTTAGTTTAAACACAATCACAAACTTTTCTGTATGAACAGTGAGGATGGTTACATAAATATAGAAAATCTCATATTTAGAGGTTTTTCTGAATTGCCAATGTACTTGCACTCAAACAAATCACTAGTTTGTATTACAAGAGTATTTCAAACATGGTTTAGGAACAGTTCTATAAACGGCTTAAATTTAATTAAATCAATGATTCTTAGTGATAATAAGTATTAAATAATTTAGGAAAAGCAACTTATGCAACTCTTTTGGTATTGAATTATAAATATACTTTAAACGAAGCAAGATTAATTTGGATTAGTTTAAGCCTTGTGTTTTATAAAATCCCTAGTTTTATACTTAAAATGTGTAATGTTGTGTAGCCTAATGTCAATTTTACATGTCTAATATCAAATAGTAACTAATGATGAATTCCTAATTCTAGAAAACAGGTTTTTAAATAGCAGATAAACAAGCTAAAACTGTGTTATATACATGCATAGGTTCATTAAATATCTGTTAATCTGCACAACAGAAACAGCAGGTTACCTTGCACGTGTATATTCTATGTTCAGTTTTACAAGTGTTTGCATCAAAGTTTCATGAACACCTAACTTCAATCATCATATTTTAAAATATTTCTAGCACTAAATGTACAGCACCACCTACCTGTAAAACATACACACATAAAAAAACAGTATTATACATACACATATCAAAAATCTTAAATAGGAATGAAATGTCAGTAATAACTATAATGGTATTAAATAACTAACACATGTAGCACAAAGTAATACAAGTTCTATGGACAGTGTAAAAACTTGTTTACCTAAATTGTCTCACATTATACGTTATTTACTACACAGTCCCCATTTTCTTCACTCACTGATGTTCCTTTATTGGAGTATTTTGTAAACAATCATTCTTACTTTATGCTGTAAGCATATCAGTTGATGTAGTTGAATTTACTTTCTGCTAACTATGTCATCTGATGTAAAGTTATTCTTACTTTAAGCATATCAATTCATGTAAATAGTCATTTTTATTTTACACTATAAGTGTATCAATTCATCTAAACAGTTGTTCCTACTTGTATGTTGTTTTGTTTTTAAGGGCAAAAATGAAAAACAAGATATGTAAACAATGTGTCTTTTTGAAGTGTACGGTAATTAATTAAATGCAAAAAGTACACTTTCAATGTCTTTCAATTTTAACTTCATCTTGTAGTCAAAATCACCATAGTCCCAATTCTAGTCCTTTTATTTCTGATAAACAACCTCATGAAACTTTACTGTGTCATTATAGGCCCATTAGTTGCCTTTAACAATAAGGCATTTACTGGCAGTTTTATAAACTGCTAATACAGTTATAAGGCAGTGTTTTGTTGATAACATTCATATTTTAATGAGGTGTGTGGTAACATTCATTCATTCAGCTATCAGATATTTAGTTCAGTTAAAAAAGTTGCGTTGCATACTGTTTTGCCAATACAGTCTATGGTATTTTAACCAGCTACTTGTATTTTTTGAAGTGTCATTCTATTTAAACAACGGGTGTTGATACCCAACATTAAACATTAAAAAATGAGTATAAACCATCTTTAAATACTATACCTGTTTTCGTAATATTTAATATTCAGGTACTTGTAATTCATGACATTAAAATAACTTCATGAAATGTTTCTGTGGTTATATAGTTAAAGTAATTAGTTGTGTTAGTCCTTGGAGGTGTTAATTAAAGAATGTTTGTCTAAGACATGTGCAAATACAGGTTCTGATGGTTAGTTCTAGTTAAGTTGTTATTGCTAATTTACAATGTATCAGTTTTTGGTTATTTGCTGTTATTATAACTGCAGGTGCTTTAAATAAGTCATTTAGGACCCTTTGTTGTTAAAATATGCAAACTTAGCCTGGTTATCAGTTAAATTATGTTTATATAATACATATACTAGTCTACTATAATAATATAAAAACACAATAGTTGAATTTTATCTGTGATAATGCAATCATTTTGTAAATTATTGTATAACTAATGTTATATAAATTATAGTACATGGGCTGCACTAATCTGAGAGTTTGTACTTTTACTAATAAAGCTTTAATAATAATAAAGCTTTTTACTAATAAAGCATGGCTTTTTACACTTCTAGATTACTCTATTGCATGTATAGCAGCTTTAAACTATTGATACAAATACTTCTGTTCACTATTGTAACTTTTGGTCAAATAAACACCAAGCACAGCTCCAAAAACATCTTAAAAGCCATATGATGATTGGTATTACACCAAGCAGAGCTCCAAAAACGTCTTAAAGGCTATATGATAATTGGTATTACACCAAGCAGAGCTCCAAAAACATCTTAAAAGCTATATGATGATTGGTATTACACCAAGCACAGCTCCAAAAACATCTTAAAGACTATATGAAGATTGGTAATATACCAAGCACAGCTCCAAAAAACGTCTTAAAGGCTATATGAAGATTGGTATTACACCAAGCAAAGCTAATAAAACATCTTAAAGGCTATATGATGATTGGTGTCACACCAAGTAAAGCTAAAATAAAATCATCTCAAATCTACAACATATTTTCACAACTCTGAGAAAAATAATTGTTGTAAAAACAGAAACACAGAAGTTGTTGTTTTTTTCAATTACTATTAAAAGTAAATTTTTCTTTGCCATTTTAAATTATTCTCTAAAACAATGTTAAATAAATGATAATCTACAAGATTTCTTGAGATTGTGTTTTAAATTTCTATTTTCAGCTTTATATAGCATAATAAAGTTCTGAGATGGAAAAATGAACTTGATATTTAGTATCTCAGTCATCAGGCAGACCAACTGTGTAGACTTATAATATATAAACCAGCTGGTTTATTTAGCACCACACTCTTATCAAATCAGATGTGTTTTTAATGTGTAAATCAAAACTGTAAGTTAAACATATTGTTTTACTTATAATGATTAATCTTCACATTTTCAATGTTTCAGTATTAACAAATGGATTTTTACTCTAAAGTTATATAACAGTCAAGCATGTTCCAAAAATGAATGTATTCCAGTGGCACATCTAAAGTATAAAGTTAATATGGTAATCTACAGCATAGCTATACTTATAGCCAAAAGTATCATTAACAGCAAGGGCACACAACTTATGAAACAATGCATTCCAATCTTTATAAGTAAAACATAAGTATATCTAATTAATAATAATCTTACCAGTTTTAGTTTCATTCTAAGTAGGTAACTTGTTTTTATCAGAAGTTAATATATATATATATATATATATAGCACAGTATTGGGATTATCTGTGTTATCATTATTTGATTCAGAAACACCAACAGCACCATTTGCCCATAGACCACAACTGAAAATCATTGTATACGTTATAAGCATTTTTAATTAAACTGAACGGATGTCTCGATATAAAAATTATTTAAAATCTAAACATAAAAATTGATATGGTAACAAACAAATGAATAACCAAAACAAATTTGTTTTCTACATCATTACTTAAGAGAGACTGTGAAGCATTCGATAAAAAAACTTTTCAGTCCAATGTGATAAAAATTTCAATCGTTTTTTTTATTATAATACAATATAAATAATTCATCAGTATTAAAGTTATACTATCAGTGAAATGGAACTAATGACTTATTAGTCTTGTGCTATGATAGGTAAAACCCATTCACAGTAAACAGTCAGATCATTTGTACATGAATTTATCTGTATGAAGATCTTTAGTCTCGTACAGTCATCTTCCATCTCAAAACTCCATATGCAAGCATGCGAAAAACAACAAAAAAAACACACAGAATTAAAACATCAACATACAAGTCTACTTTGTTCATATCCATGAACTTCAAGAAGTCTGAAGGATCAACGAATGGGCAAAACACCTCTTCACACTCCAACTCTGGTCTTCCAAAGCCATATATTGATAGCATCAAGCCTTCAAAAGCATACCTGATATAAGATATATAAGACAGCCAGCGTAGATAATCTGGGATAGTTTTAAAAGTAATGAAAAAACCACTGAAAAGTAAAAATGGAATGACGAAGACAGGTGCTAAAAATACAGCAGTCTGAAAAGAAAACAAGGACAAAAAAGTTATGTTAGATGTGTATACATATTCCCAGATTTATGAAAACTCCTCAACACACCAACCAATCTTTTAAATAATTTGCATCTTAATGTAAAAATAAGTTTGTTATAACTCTTCATATATACAGTGGGAACACACACAGCCACCTTAAGTTTAAAAAAAAATTTAAATTTTGCAAAACAAAAAATATTTCCTTATAAAACAATTAAAAAATGAGAAAGTACTTATACTCTATAACTAAGACTCCTGACTTTTGATTTTAACCAATAAAACACCCCTGATACAGAAAATATGAAAGCTGTATTTTTCCAATAAATATTGGAAATGGTTATTCAGTTTAATCTCCCCACTTTTCTAAAACCCTTTCCATATGGAATATTACTCTGAACGAAAAGAACCACGTTTCGTTTGTTGTCAATAAGTTTGTTTTTTATATTTTCATACAAAATAAAAGCTGCTCTTTAATATAAATAGAACTATGCTTTCTACTTGTTATTACTACCATAAGAGAAATTAATGTGTAGAGAATATAAGGTATCTTAGTATAATCGTTACAGTATTAAGTGATAGCTCCGAAAACCACAGATTTTAAGTTATCTAAATAATACTATAAAACAGCTAAAAATAAACACTGATTTATAAAAAAAAAAAAAAAAAGCAGAAGCCCTGTCTATAAAAAAGACAATAATATTATATGAATATAGAAGTATTTTAGTTCTAGTAATTTATTTATTGTTATTATTATTATTATATTTCATTTATTTGTTTTATGTTACTTCCCTTAGATCATTTGTAGCTTAAGAATGTGTTCTCAATACTTCGAGCCATGTGTTACTTGTTCTTTCAACCAAGCCCTTCTATTAACAGTTTCATTCTCACTGGAAGCCTGAAGAAGGGCTGTTGCCCAACACATTGTTTTCATATTTTATCAATTAAATTATTTTAATTTGGAGACTTTTTCACCATTACTTTATATCCCATAGAAAAATTTTTGTCAGAAAAAAAAAGTTGTAACTTGCGAGTGCTTTGGAAGGATAGTGACTTAAAGAAATAGAGTGAAGCATTACAACCTAATTATGAGTTGGCTTATAACACATTTAAGAATGATCAAAAACCAAACAAGGGGAACAATTATAGTGATGCACCACATCAATAACTTGTACATATACGTAACGTAGACTAAGCTTCTTACTAAACCATATTGACAATGTTAATCTCACATTTCAATAGCACGTACTTGTGGAAGGTATATTTGTTTCAAAATATTTAATATAAATTATTAAATGCTGATAAAATTAAGAAAATATGTTCTATTCTAACCAATTTCTTACTTTAGTTTGATGTGAATAGCTACATGATATAACAAAAACTTTTAAGATTACAAGACTTATTGTTTAGAAAAACTAGAACAATAAATATACTCTAAGAATACAAATAAGACCTTGGCATATAACTGCACTTCTGTTGTCATTCATGTGTTCAGAAAGCAGTTTAATTTTTTTAACTCAATACAAACTGAAAAAACTGTTAGTGCTTAATGAAGAAGAAAAATATTTGATGACAAACACCATCATCACTTTATTTAAGGTTTATTGGATCAGTAATACTTTGAAAGTAGGTCTTACATTATCATTTTTGTATTCATTTGTACATTTTTATAATTCTAGATAGTTTCATTAATTATGGAATCTTCTTTTTCTGTTACTGAAGATGAAATAGACCCAATAGTGTATGGGGAGTAGTGAACCAAATTCACTATGAATAATACTTGTGTAAGCTTATCACATATGAAGACAATTTCTTAAATTGACAGGCAGTTTAGTCTTTATCCTTAAATAAGTATGGTGCTCTGTACAATACATAAAAAAAAAAATTCCTATTTAAGATTATTCAGATATCAATTAATGTAGTATCAACATTCTAGGCATTTTCCAGCTCATTTATAAAAACAAACTAAACTGGTATGCTAAAATACCAGGCATTTCTAAAGATTTCCAGAGTCTCAGTTAGAAATTAAATATATATACAGTTAAGTAAACAAATGTTTCCATATCAATATTAAATATTCTTTATCTATATACAGTTTCTATAACAAAAATATTATTATTATACTGCTTTACATTTTGGTTTGATGTACCTTTGATAAAACAACAACAAAAGAATGTCCAATGCACTAAATACAGATATATTGTATCTAGACAGTCTTGCTTGGCTACTAATGTAAATTAGAAATAATCACAACACAGATAAAATGAAGAACAATCTGAAAATATTCTACTTTTGACATTTTACTTAAATAGCAGGAATATAACAATAAATAAATATGAGCTGGAATTCCACATGGCTTTAATATTCAATAAATAACTGACACGTTTTACTTAAATAGCAGGAATATAACATAATAAATAAATATGAGCTGGAATCCCACATGGCTTTAATATTCAATAAATAACTGACACGTTTGAGCTTACCTACATAAATATCAGTACACTTTATCACAGAAATTTAACAAGTAATTTTACTAAAACAAATAAATACAAACCTGAACATTACAAGCAGCTCCTATGACTAGTCCAAAGGCTTGAGATACTAAGGAAGTAAGAATTGATATAACAAGGAAGTTGAGGAACCTTACTGCTTCTGAAGGTTGACTAGTCATCCAATACACAATACTGCTGTACAGTAGTGGAAATAATATCTGTAGGAATACCAGGGGATTCAAAATCAACCAGATAAATACAAAAGAAAAAGTGAAAAAATGAACTTGCATAAGAATCATATCCTACTACATCACTAGCCAGACTACAATTTCAAGCTATTTCAGCTCTATTCACCCTTAGGTTGGTGATAGTGTGTTACAGAATGAATTTATCTGAAGAAAACAATTATAACAGACATATTAAATACATTTTGTACCTATACACACATTACGTTATCTCCTAAACAAAGAGAAAAATAATCAATAACAACAGTGTCATGGCACAAGGTAACAAATGCTCATACTGGGTGATATATACACAGCATACAGAAATGTTTTCACGAATTATAGCAGCATTTGTCAACTTTTACGATACCAGAAACCACCTCACTGCCTCCTTAAACTATCGTGGACCATTAAATTGCAAATACAATGAAAAAAAACATTACGATTTATATTTGAATAATCTGTCAGTTTTTGTTTATTTTGTGGAATCCCACAGACCAGTGCCGGTTTGCAGCTTGGTGGTTGAGAAACACTGATCTATAGTACATAACCAGTTAACTTGGATATCTCCATGGCCTGGCGAGTTTTTGTTTGTTTTGTGAAATCCCAAAGACCAGTGCCGGTTTGCAGCTTGGTAGTTGAGAAACATTGATCTATAGTACATACCCAATCAGCTTGGATATCTCCATGGCAACTAATTAAGTTAAAAGTTCTAATCTTGTTGCAATTCAGTTGAAATATGTTGATTTGCAAGTAATGAAGAAAATTAAACAATGTGTAACCAGAAGTAATCCAAGAACATAGATATCCATTGTAGCTGAAGTGTCACCATCATCGTCATCTTCATCAGAGTAGCTGTCATCTTCACTCAATTCAACTTCTTTGACCAACTGTGATGGGAACATGTCCATCAAACCACAGACGTTCAAGTTTTCCATTGATGACTGTCCATTCGCACACTTCGGATGGTGGTGGTACATCTGGTTGAGACACAGTGGCACACTTCCAGATTCTAACCTGATAATTTACTCATCTGATATGCTGACGTAATACCTTCTAACATGGAGGTAGCTTACTAAGGTCGATATTGCAATTCAGACTTCACTACCTCTCAAGTTTTCCATTGATGACTGTCCATTCGCACACTTCGGATGGTGGTGGTACATCTGGTTGAGACACATTGGTACACTTCCAGATTCTAACCTGATAATTTACTCATCTGATATGCTGACGTAATACCTTCTAACATGGAGGTAGCTTACTAAGGTCGATATTGCAATTCAGACTTCACTACCTCTCCCATCTTCTCAGACGGAGACAGTGAGGATGACTAAGCTCCCTTTCGAGTTTTGTACCAAGAACTTATACAGAGAACATTGCTCATGTACATGTAATATTTACAGTATTGTAATCTATGTTAATGTAGTTCATAAATTTAGTTTCAATTCACAAATTGTTTTTTTTCCATTTGCGATATACTCTAGTCGAGTACATTTGTTTGTATCTGATGACTAATGACTAAATATTATTTATATTTGTTACCCACATTAACTGTTTTGTTGCATTATAATTTTAGTTTCTGAAGTGAATACTTTTGTGAATATTAATGTCACTGTGATACTAATATATGATGATCTGATCCTTGAATTCACTTTCAGTTCACATGCTTTTGTTTCATTCGTACACCGTTCAAGAACTTTTGTTTGTATCAGGTGTCGAAATGATTTATTTTTTTGTTTACTTTGTTACATACAGTGACTATTAGGTTGCAATAAAACTTTAGAATTGGGAGTGAACAGCTTGTGAACATTTATCTTAGTGTGATTATGAACCATCACTGAACAGACTTGAAATACCCAGATGGGAAATCCAGAGTGGGTGCTTTTTACTTGGCCTAAAAATGTAAATATTCATCTCAAAACCCAAATTTTTGGGTATTTTTAAAAAGGTTTAAGGTATGTCTTCACAAGACAATTATATCTGAACAATTTATGGGAAGAAAACGTCTTTAGGATACAGACCTGGTATAGCTGTATTAACTTTTTCACATATAATGGTCAGCCGCAGTTTTTATGTAAATTTTTTCAGAAATCCAGTTTGTGATTTTTTTTTTAAATATGCACATATAATACATCACTTGAAAGGAAATTTATTCCATCTTTATCTGGTATAATTCTTTCAATGAAAGATTTTATAAAAACAGGCATATAAGGTCAGGATCTAATATGACCTCTTGTTTTTGGAGTGCTAGAAATCAGATTAAGAGCAGAAAGACCCCATCTATGAATAAACAGGCCAAACAGATAGTTCATCCCAGTTTATTTGTTTGTAGCATTGCTTATATTGATGGAAGAAAAATATTCCTCTTTCACAGTTATGGAGAGTGGGGGGTGCATGGTGACCATATCTAGTC